CTAAAACAACTTGTTTTTATGAATGAAGGGATGTGTCCCATCTACCCAAAATCTCTTATATTTTGAGCGAAGGGAGTACCTATGTTCTTTTTTAGATAACATTAGGATATTGTCATGACTATCTTTCATGAACATATTTGATTATTAATTTTTTAATCATACTTCATAAAAATTATTAAAAACATAAGAGTAAAATACACGAATGGTTCTTAAACTTGTGCTTAAAATATATTTTTGTCCATAACCTTGTCATGTGTGTCATATATATATACAAACAAAAAGACCGAATGTGTATGATGATCGGATCTGTTTGGCGGAATTTTTTTAATTTTTAATTTTATTTATTAAAATATTTTAAAAATAATTTTTGGTTTTAAAGTTTTAAAAATCTACACCCATAACGCCTTCTCAAAGGGCGTTTTTTATGATATGGCACACGCCCGTTGGTGTTGTAATGGTCGGGTGAACATCTACGAGGGTGGCAAGAGTTTTGCCTGTAAATGGTCAGCTCCGGTTGTTTTGCAAGCGCCCCCTTTAGCCCTTTGGGAGGGCGGCCAGGGGTTGCCTGTAAAATGGCCGACCGCTCTCCATGTGACCGTTAGAATGCATCACGTCATAAATAACGCCCTTTGGAAGGGCATTTTAAAAAACGACATCCTAAAGGATGTTAGGGGGCGTAGATTTGTAAAACTTTGAAACAAAAAATTATTTTTGTAAAGATTTAATAAATCTATCTACTCTAATGTTATAAAAATTAAAGGTATTTTTTTTTGCTAAAGTTTGGTACGTCATCCATAGTCCGATTCCCGTGCTCGTCCACGCGACTTCCCTGTCTGATTCACGTCTGACATTGATGTGATCGCGATAGCTAATTCGCGCGCGCGCGTTGACGGCGCCCGTTTTAGGCCCATAAGGGCTAAGGCCCACGCATAACCTAGCGTGCATGCGTGAGGCGGATGGCGTCCATGTCCGTATGTTTTTTCCCCGGAAAAGCTAACGTCCACGCATTTTTTTCGTTTCTTTTTGCCATTTTTTTCGTGATCTTTTTATTTTAGAAGTTGAATCTTTCATCTGTAATTTTAGTTGAAGGTTTTGAATTTGAGTTGAAAGTTTTTAAGATTTAAGTTGAATTTTGAGATGAAAATTTTTAAATTTGAATAAAATGTTTTGTATTTTCAGATGAAAGTTTTAAATCTGAGTTGATAGTTTTCAATCTTTAGTTAAAAGTTTTTAAATCCGAGTTGAAAGTTTTCAAATCTTGACTTGAATTTTTTTCAAATCTAGGTTTGAAAGTTTGAGTTAAAGTTCTATTTATGTATTATTTTTTTAAAAATAATAATACTAACAATTATCATTAAAACTAATTAATGTCATTAATGCTAATCAGCGTTATTAGCACTTAGCAGAGGCTGAGATGGGGGAGTGCGTTACGTGATTACCCACTCATGTGTGAGATGAAATGACCCACCGAACAAAAGATGGGGTGACCGAATGAGATGGTAAAATATATGCTATCCATCATTAATTCTTTCTGCCTGCAGTGCCCTAATTACAACCTGGTGGCATATATGGTTAATGAGAAATGATAAAATTTTCAAACAGACACCCCCAAATACCAGCCGTGCAGTAGCGTGCATTCTAGATGACATACGAGATAGGGAATTTGCTTTCAAACCGCCTTAAGCGTTAATGTTCTTTTTCTTCTCTTGTTAAAGTGTATCCATATTGCATTGTCTCCTGTGTATATGTAAGGCACCTATTCTCCTTTTAATATAACCGGCAACTCTCTTGCCGTCTTCTATTAAAAAAATCATTAATTCTTTCATTAGCCCTTTGGTTTTATTAATATTTGAAAAAGTCATTCATCTTTCATTCAAATGATTTCTTCCATACCTGCCCAAGAGTTATTTTTGCAGAAGCTTATTCTTTGTGCTGTAGTTGTATATATATATATGAAATATATATATGAAACGCATTTCATCCCTCGTACAAACATCCCGATGAGGTATACCCCTACACCATAGTTCTCTATATCGTTGTGTTCCGTCATTAATGTTGATAATATTAATTAATTTTAACTGTTTTGCTCTCACTTCAACTTCCTCAATCCCAGTGATTCAGATTCAGAGAATCTATCAATTGCTCTACAAACTAGATAACTTTAGCTCTTCAACCCAAAAAATATTTCTTTTCGTAGTACTGTTTTCATGTATAACATTCCAGAAGCATACACTGATACACAAGCTCGATTTGGAGCAGTTGTTTTGTTTGAGGTTCGTGTATCTTATATCTTATATAGTTTTTCATCGATACATCTATATGTACATAAGTATTTTGGATTTTTTTCCGTCTCCTCCCACGTGATCCCACGCAGGCAGCGCGCCTCCGATCCGCCCGGGAAGAACCTACGCGCATAACGCGCCTTCGCCCCGCCCGGACCGAACCGTACGCCACTGCGATCATAGATTTGCCTCCACATATGTTTCCTATTGCAAAAATCTCACTCCCTCATTATTTTCGCCGTAATTTCCTTTTCTATTCAGTTTTAATTCATCGAATTTAATATTTTCCCCGTAATTTTCTTTTCTATTCAACTTTAATTCGTCGAATTTAATCTCTATTTCAGATGGCCTACCGGTAAGCTTATCCAACCTTTTATCTTGAGTTTTGCGAATTCTCTCCGATTTGAAAAAAACGGAAATAGAAATCAAGTGGATAAAAAACCATCAACTAATTTTGGGATATCGAGAGAATCTTTCGAAGGTTGAAAACGATAGCGGCGGCTATACGAGTTAGGCGCAGGCGTGCAGCCCACAATTTGAGCCAGGGCTTGCTTTAAAGGAAGGAATGAATGTCCACAATTTGAGCCGCAGGCTGAAGAGAGGTAGCGCCGTAAAGGAAGGGATGCAGGGCCTTCCCATCCCAAAACCAAGGATGGATTTTTATAACTTTTTCAATTATAATGTATACCGATCTAAACGTTTCAATAAACGTTTTTACCCGTTATAACACATGGGCATTTTTTATAAAATTTAAAATATAAAAATTTTCTGTTTGGCGTGTGTGAGTGGGTGGGCCAAGCACATCGCACATTTTGGCTCCTGTGGTCAGAGACCAAACAACACCATTCGCTCATGTGAAGTCGAGTACTAGGAAATTAGTAATTTTATTAATTAGGTGTTGATAAATTTTCATGCATGTAATCACCGTAAGTAGATAGTAAAAATATTTCAATGAAATTGAAAACACGTCAACAATGTTTTTGATAATTGTTTTTTTTTCTTTTGCAATCAAAATTTCGATCCAAACATTGGTTTGCTAACCGTCTATAATAATCGTTAACTCATTGTTTTCTGATTCTTTGGGTAACCCATACATATTTATAACATTACTTCAGAGTGAACATAACTAGTGGATAAGATTTAAACAACGAGATATATTCACGGAATATATCAACTTAGAAACTTTTTTTTTCTTTCGTGATCTCAAAAGAACAGTGAGCGTATTCCTTGCACGGTAATAACTTCGATTTTGTGGTAAATTAAGACCTCGATTGATCTGGAGGACTTCTGCTCTGCTCCTAATCATACACTATTTTCGTCGGCACGCGTAAATAATGTACATGCACGAGCATTTTTTTTTTCTGATGTTAGTTTAATTGCCCTTATGGTTTTCACCTTTGTGTACTTTACTCTGTCATACTGATCCGTTGGCACAATTGGTGGTTTCTAACAGAAATTCCAAGGATGCTGAAATATATTAGTTACAACGTAATGGTAAACGCTGAAGACAATCTAGGAATATTGAAAGAGATTGCAATGTAATGATAAAAGCAGAAGACTAATTTGTCCTACAAGCAGAAGACTAATTCCAAACAACAAACTAACTCATCCTGGCATAATCCACATTTCAATATCGAATTATCCAAAAGGGCCGCCAATCCGTCATCTTCACTGTCGATCAAATAAATTTAACTAGTCAATCAATTAAATAAGGAAACTAGCTTAACTGGGAAGCTAGTTAAGCCCTGATTGTTGTTGCATACCTGCAGAACCTTATTGTATCAGGAGATAAGATAATTGACCCTAACTCACTCCGCAGGATCGCCAAATTAACTGCCTTCCCTTTCCTGCTCAGCTGGCCGGGCGCTGTAAAATCCTTCAGCAGGAAAGAACTACTACAACTAAATAAACTTGAAGTCTGCCGTTACCTGCCTAAGCTGGTCAAGTCTTGAACTCTTGATTGTATAGTTGCTTATCTGCAAACTGATATGATTTAATCGGGAGAAAAATTAATTGATCTTACTGCCAAAATTATCTTCTTTCCCTTTAATGTTCAGCTGGCTAGGAGGCGGCTGACATTCTTCAGTAGGAACAACAAAGACAGTACTACTAATCTTCAGTAGGAATCTACGCAGGATTAGTACAAATTTTGGGTCCCGCTATTTACCCTGAAGTTTAAGGTAGATACTCAACTATGTGATTCTCACATACACAACTGCAAATGGTACACATGGCTTGCTATTATCTGGCTTTTGCTATTGTCGGATGAAAAACTAGCAATATTCCACAATAGACCTAAGAAAAACATGATCCAGATGAATACTTCATTGTTCCCCCTCGCCAGGCCAATCACAAAAGAAGCAAAAACAAGGATTTATCAAGTATCAAAAGGGAAATGCTAGCAAACAGAACCTCTTCAAAATTATTAATATGGTCACATGGATCGAAATGTGTGAATGCGATGGTCTGTACAAAAAAATTATGTGGTTCCTAATAAAATAGATATCAAATCAACTTTGCCACCTACTACTACTAACTTGCCATCTCATGTTAAGCTGGTAGTTTGTACTATTGCACAAAGAGCTGTTATGCCAGGCGTGCCAAGACAAAGATTTTGTCAACTGAATTTCATGCCAAAGAAAGAAAGAGCAATTTATGACCCAGTATCAAAACAACAATAATCACAAGTGACATCAGAATGGCAAACCAAATGTCATGTAGAAACATATAATGCCGGAACTAAGTTTTTGCCATAGCATAGGGAACAGACTACATAACGATGATGTTACTTTCCCAACATACAGCTTCTTCCATAAGCATCATATTAACTTAGAATGTCAGCAGGATTTTGCATACTTGCCCAATCTATTCACTATCAAACCACCAAAAGGACATAATTACCATCACAAAAGGACACTACTAATTAACCTATAGAGTATAGAGCTAACTGATACTTAACTATGGAACCGAAGATGACGAGGAGAGACTAGTGGATCATATTACCATCAGCTAGGATCGCAGCTCCTTCGAGCTTGTAAATTAGTCCCTTTCTAATCTTGGCCATCTTAACTGCCATCTTTTTCTTCCTCTTCATATCAATCCACCTCAGGTTCTCCAACTTTTTCTCAATTGCGACAACTTGGTCGCCGTCCAACCTAGGGAACAATTCCATGATAGCAGGTTGTCCCTCCATGAGCACCTTAATTTCCTTTGCGAGCAATGGAAACTGTTTGCACATATCATCGAATGACCTCTGCTCATCACTAGCTAAGGACTTCTCCTCGTCCCTGGCCAAAGACTTCTCATCCCTGGCGAAAGACTTCTGCTCATCCCTGGCAAGGGAGCTCTGCTCATCTCTGGCCAAAGACTTCTCCTCGTCCCTGGCGAAAGACTTCTGCTCATCCCTGGCAAGGGAGCTCTGCTCGTCTCTGGCAAGGCACCTCTGTTTGTCGTCCCCGGCATGAGCAACAGAGCGCCCCCAGATCTCACAGGAGAGCTCATGAAGCTGAAGGTCATGATCCTTGGTAATAGCAAGGCCCGACAAGACAACATCGTTGTACCGACGCTTGAGACTGCGCACCTTATCCCTCACATCACTGTGGTTGAAGGTGCGGCCCTCCAGGCGCTGCACGAGTTCATGGAACAAGGGGTGGCCCGGCTCCTGCGGCACATTTCCACCACTGCGGATTTGATCAACAAGAGCCTCTAGGATCATGATCTCGTCATTGCCATTCCACTTGCGCCCGAACCCGGGCTTCTGCGCATCCACAATCTTGGCCCTCTTGGGATCAGGTGGGCAAATGCTGCCTGACAATGCGGCAACCCTCTTGCTCTTCCGCTGCGGCAACGGACCCTTGCCGTCTTCCTCATCCCCTTGCCATGGCGCCACCTCCTCCTCAGCCTCTGCCATCAAATCACCATCTTCCTCCTCTTGAGCAGCAGCATGTTGCTTCGCCGATGGCTTCTTCCTTGCCTGCGCTGATGCCTTCTTCTTTGCCTTCCCTGCGTTGGGTGGCACCTCTTGCTCAGACTCGGCCAAGCGGCCGTCCACCTCCCCCACATCTTGCTGGGGGCGCGTAGGCTCAGCGGGATCGTCCGGAGCAGCGACCTTGCCGGAGTCGCCAGCTCGCAGGGCCTTCTTCTTCTTCTTGCGGTTCTTCTTCGACTTGGGAGGGGACTCGGGGAGATCGTCCTCCTGCGCCGCATCATCTCCTTGCGGAGTTGGCACCTCGTTCGACGGCGACCCGGCGGCGAGGTTCTCTCTGGAGCCGTGGTCGCTCGACGGCGGCGCCGTCACCCTCTTCTTGGGCTTCATCGGCGACTTGGCGGGGCCGTCCGGCGCCGCGGCATTGCCAGAGCCGAAGCCGGAGCCGCTCCGCGGCAGCGCGGAGTCCCCCTTGGGCGGGGCGGCGACCTCGTCCTTGCCGGGATCGCCGCCCTCCTCCCCCGATTCGGCAGCGCGCGTCGGCGGTCGAGGGGGCTGGGCCGCAGCAGGAGGCGGCGACCTCCGCCGCATTGTCGATCTGCGGAGAGTCGCCTCCGGAGGGGGAAGAGCTGGAAGGGAGAGGCAACGAGGGCGATCGGGCGACGCGCACCCGCTTGGGCGCCATGGGTGGATGGATGGATGCTGCTGCTTGGGGATGAGATCGAAGTGGAAGGATCGATCAGGATTTGTGGGGTTTTGCAGGGTTTCTTTCAGGGGGGACTCGTATAGCCAGCGAACGCCTCCTCGGGTCCATGGCTCGCCGAGTGGTGGTGGTGGAGAAACGAAGCGCCGAGAAACTCAACAGGGACGGAGGAGGGAGTACGATGCAGCAGGGCGGGTTTGGCCGTATTTACCGAAATACTCCCTCCGTATATAAAAAAAAACAAAGACAAACTCCTGATTTCCGTGTCTAACGTTTGACCGTCCGTCTTATTTAAAAAAAATATATAAAAACAATTAAAAAGACAAGTCACGCATAAAATATTAATCATGTTTTATCATCTAACAACAATGAAAATACGAATTATAAAAAAATTTCTTATAAGACGGACAGTTAAAGTTGGACACGAAAACCTAGGGTTTGTCTTTTTTTTTGAGACGGAGGGAGTAAGTTTGGTTACCTGCACGATGCCTGACTCGTATTACGGGTGTAGGCAATGTTAGAGATATACTCCTATTTCCTTGTTTGTGTTAATCTCCAATTGATGAATCTTTCATATTCTATCGTTGTTTCTATAAATCGGTTGAGGATAAATGAAATGTTATTTTTTGAGGGAGCATATATATGGAATGTTATAGCGGTATATATAAAAAAAAGAATTATCGTGTCCAATTCTCTTATTCTAACATGGTATTAGTTGTTTTCGCTTCCGTCACCAAACCCTAAAACTCTACCTCTCTCTCCCATGCTCACTGTTGGTGCCGCCATGATGCCCACACCTTCTGAGCCTTTGTCTCCACGATCCTTCGCCCTTGCCGACACCGTGCTCAATGCCCACCACCCGCATGGTGCTTCGGGCGATCCCACCCTCATCGCCTCCGTGGTGACCACCACGTCTACCACCGCTCGCAAGGCCATCACTGCCCTCCTCGCCAAGCACGCCACAATTGATGCGTCCTCCTCCTCCAAGTCGTCATCGTTCGCGGCAGACGCCACTCCGTCGGAGCTCGCCACTTCGTTGGCCCAGGCGCTTGCACCACTGGCGAGCCACCTCTACCTCCCAGCATCGACATCTCACATGGTGCGTTCAACGCCCCCGACGCCACCAGCACCGGCACGCCCCACGCCGGTCCTACCGCGTCCGCCGATGCCCATGGTGCTACTGCCGACTTCCTCAGCGTCCTCAACGTCGCCTTCCACAGCGCGTCTAGCATGCCCCACGCCGCCCCCACGGGCGCCAGCCGCGGCGTCACCGGCCTACCTCCCGCCCAACCGCGTCTCTACACGCTCAAGCCATCGCCATCCTGAACATCAAGGCATTGGTCCCCGTCACCCTCGACATCCATGCCAGCAACTATAATCGTTAGTGCGGTCTCCTCTTCGCCACGCTCGGCAGGTACTCCCTCGCCGACATCTTCCGCCCTGACCGACCAGATTGGATGCGCATAGACTGTGTCATCCTTACATGGCTCTACAACGATCTTCGGCGATCTCCTCGAGTCCGTTATGTAAGTCACCACAATGGCTCGCCTCATTTGGTGCGGCCTCGAGCAGCAATTCCTTGGCAATTGCGAGCACTGTGCCATCAACCTCCAAGTGGAGTTCCACAACTTCCACCAAGGCGACCTCTTCGTCACGGACTACTGCCACAAGCTCAAGACCATGGCCGACAACCACGGTGATGTGGGCGAATGTTGACAGTTGTTAAGTGCAAACTTTAACCGTCAACTTATGTATAAAAGATATCAAATATATTATCAAAACTTAATGGTGGGAGTTTACTACTAACCGTTTCCACCAGTTTTGGTAAATATATGTATGCAGGTTAATTAAGGAGAAAATACACCATAGGGGCCCACTTGACTGTTGAAACCGACTTAAGATGGGACCAAACTGTCTTTAACCACCATAGGAGCCCATTGTCAACCTCCCAACCAAGAGAGAGGCTAGGAGGTGGGGCCCGCAGTTCGGCCGAACAGGGGATTCGGTTGAACCGCCATAGTGGTGCCCCATCCTGGCCTTCCACGTGTAGGTCCCAGATGCCTTCCCAATGACAGTTATTCCCGGTTTTCGGCCTGGATGACTGCCACAAGCCACAACCGCAATATGGAGGCTCTATAAGGAGGAGGCTTCACATACTTCAACACTTACAACTTTGGTGGGAAATCAAACTCTAACCATTGGATAGAAAACCTGTTACCATTCCAATAGTGTCAATTTGGAGCTCTGTTTATTTTTCTTCTTAGCAAATTTATTGCTTAATACAAGCATCATAATTGCTTAAGCTCATATATAGCTCCTCTACTCATGGCTTTGGCTTTGAACTTTGTGCTTAAGGTTATTTAAGGCTTAGAAAGAAAAAAATAAATTTACAAATGTCAGTGATACTATACACAATTGAACAAGTTAAGGAGAATCTAGCATAGCTCTATGATGACAACTACCAAGAAGGGGACATATCTGGTGAAAACCCGTGAAAATCAAACCTAAAAGTTTTGCAAATTCATGTAAAAATTACTAGAGACAGGTATAGGTATGAAATACATTCTCACCAATTTCAAATTCAAACTCAACTTTATTATGGAGCAAAAAAAGATAAATTTTGAGCGAATAGTAACAAGACTTTATTCACCTGAAATTTGTCATTTATGTTTCTCTCGTATGAAGTTATGTTTGGACTTAAGATTTGGTATGAATGTATTTCAAGCCTATCTCATGTAATTTTTTTTTGTAAATTTACAAATTTTTTAGATATGGTTTCAAGGGTTTTCACTTATTTGATGATTTTCAATGGATATTTCCCCTACCATGAATTTCTATATATTATTCTAATTACACAACTAATTAAGAGGTTCACTTCTTAATCACTACCTTGTGTTCGTGGGAGTCGTACCAGAAATTGAGCCCATTTGGTTGGCTTGATAGTTTCCAATAGTTGTTTCTACTAGTTTCTAAGCCTAGCTATGTCTTGCATGCATATACAATATACATATTGTCTTGTGGACAAAGAAAGCTAGCTAGGAGGCAGGAAAAGGAAGGAAACAAGCTACACACATGAGCTACCTTTTGTACATGTACCAAACAGATCTCCCAGGGTTTTGGTTAAACTCAAGGTTATGTGCTCAAGAAAAGAAAAAAAGAAACAGCATTCATAGCTAGTTCAAACTTGGCGCGAACTGATGACATGGGGTTGGCTGGACAGCACCGATGTCTAGAAGAGGATATTTGTTTAATTTGTTTGTGCATAATTTTTGTTAGTTACAGACCGGTAGGTGTATATATATATATGTATGTGTGGATGGATGGATGGATGCAAGCAAGCCATTTTGACAGAATTGTTGTGGAAAAAACATTCACCGGTGGAGATCTGATTCTGGAACATCAGAAAGGCATTATGCCCAGTGTTTAGAGTTTAGACCTGGTAATTCGTTTGAGCTGATTTTTATATTTTTTCCCCTATACAAACATTAGTATTGTACCGTGCTTTGCTTTGCAATCTCAAAACTCAAATATATAGGTATATGCAACTATTCTGAGTTAAAAAATAACTATAATCTACTCTAAATTAGGTCAAAAGGTATTAGTTTGTGACTAGATTATAGTGACTGCAAACACACGCATGGCCTAGGGGCTGTTCAAATTAATGTTATTTTTAACCATACCATTTTTAAAAATATTTACGTTTAGTTTGTTATCAAATCTGGTAAACACATAAGAAATCCTACTAAAATTTTAGTAAGATGGAATTTTGACAATGCCAAAATTTGATAAGGTTTATTTTAGCTACAATATAAGCAGACCCCTAAAATTTATGATGCCATGGTGGTGCATATTTCTGGACGTAATACAAGAATGCGTGGAAATCAAAGTTGATGAAAAACCATTGTTGTGGAAGACGAAATATGCTTTCAGACGAAAAGGGTATCGTTCACTGATAATCAGAATACAAGATTAATAAGAACTATGTGGAAATTTGATGTTGGCAAATATGACGTTGGCAAGTACGTAATTTGGACATTTAAATGGCTACAACTATATAATTTGAATATATTAATGTTATCTTTTAATTGAATGGTTATAATTAACATCAACTTAAAATATAGTTTCTAACGGTCATTCATACAGCAAACAATGGCATGTTTGGTTATATTCAATAAGTAAAACATAACAGAATATAAGAAATACTAAACAAAGTCCCAAAAACAACTTTGGATAGTCATCAAATACACATGCCACGAACAATTAAACGGAAGATGGTGAATTAATCGCTAAAATAATTTTTTAATGTTCATGAAAAATAAATGTCGACCGTATCACGATAACAAACTGTTTCATTAAGTGTTTGAATCTCCTAAATATAAAGATAAAAATAAAGATTAAATGTTTCACGCAAAACAAAATAGTAATAACATGTGATTAATTGAGATTTAATTATTACAAACTTGAAAAAGGATTAATATGATATTTTAGAACAACTTTCATATAGAAAGTTTTTGCATGAAACGTACCGTTTAGCAGTTTGAAAAGCGTGCCACGAGTATCCAAAAGTTTATTAACTTTTATTGGAGAAAAGAACCGGACACATCCGTTTAATCGGTCGGTACGACTGTTTTCCGCAACCTGCCAAAAATCTGTGCTATTCTTCCTAAGATTCGCATGGACTCACACAACTAGCTACTCAATTAATTTTAACAGCTGCAGCTAGAGGCGACAACTGAGGGCCCTGGCAGGATTCGGTAGAAGACTGCCAAAGAGAAATCAGTGACTCAAGAAATGAGAGATTGAAGCAGAGGTAAGCCAGGCCAGTTAGTGTGAAGTGAGATAAACTAATCCAATCATCCCTTTAAGATAAAAAAGAACACGCGATTTCTCATTGTTCGGGGATTATTGTTGGGAAATGATTATCAGCGGTTTTTAACCTCTCTTTCTCACAGCATGAACAAAACAACTTAATAGAGCGGAAAACCCATACACATATCTACATTCCTTTCAAAGACTAATTATGATGGTGAATCTACCATCACCCGCCACAGATATAGTATCATCGTCCTTCATCCACTTTCACGCTGACCAATCAATTGCCACACCTAGCGCGCTCTTCCACTCAGGTCCGATGCCCTGATCCGTGCAGCTTGGAAGACCCACCGTGATGGTGGGGACTGGGGATGTGCCATTGCTGGCTACTCCATCACCATGGGAAAATCCACCCATCACCCTGGGCAGATTTGCCATCGAGGCTGCGCCAGAGAGCTTGTTGATGTGCTACCCTGATCTACACCACGTTGCCACAATGTGCACCTATGCTGCCTTGATCCACGCCACTTGGAGGTCGACCGGCCTACGGTGCCCTGATTCACACTACCTAGAGCTCTGTTGGCCCCTATCACGCTGAACTAGGGAGGAGGGGAGCTCGAGACCACCGCCGTGAATGTCTCTGAGTGCGAGCGCCCACCCCACACGACTAGCTAGAGTAGCTTCTCTTGCTCGTTCTTGGTGCAGCGTGATGGGAAAAGGAGAAGTGACCGAGATAGAGAGAGAAAAGAGGAGGGGTGGGATTTTATATCAGTTTCTGATTTCGAGAGTGTATAAAGTAAAATGTTGGACTTATATATATCTGAATTGCAAAAAAAATCTAATAATTTAAATACGAAATGTAAAAGGTTGACAAGGGTTGTAACACAAAAATTCATTGGAGAGTGGCTTGCATTGTAGACCTAGTATCTTCACAGTAGTTTCATCTTAGGTGGCACATACGTAGGAGTTACCTCCATTGCTCGTAGCAGTAGCGGTGACGTGTTCTCTCTCCTCGAGACCACTAGTAAGAGTAGCCTCCATTGCTCATGCCTAAGAACAACCATCTTGTATCATCTATATAAATTGAATTGAACTATAATACTCCTACTTTATTTAAATTAAAGTGTTGTAACATTGGACATTGAGATTGTCTCAAAGATATAATATTAACTACTTAAATATTGTCCCACTCATACAAACTATAAGCTGAAATATTATTCTCACCCCTGATTCTCAGGATAATAAGTAGAATCACATCCAAACAGGCAAATATTTGATATCTCAAGAGGAGAATCACCCCAGAGTGATTCATGTTTTTTGAAAGAATCACTGGAAACCCAGCTTCAAATATAGGACATTCAGGCAAACCTAATATAGAACTCACCACATACTTTCTAAAAAGTTACCCTCCTTCTAAAAAAATTATAGGCCAAATTATGATAAGCAGCGGACACTAGTACAAAAACCCTTATAGGTGCCGGTTGGGAACCGGCAATAGGTGCCAGTTTCCCGGCCGACACCTTTTGGTCGGCACCAATGACCGTATGTCATTGGTGCCGGTTGTAGAACTGGTACCTTTGTGCTCTCCCAGATTCAAAAAAAAATGAAGAAGCCGGCTCCAAGCCGAGCCGAGCCAATGCTTTTGAGCCACACCATTCAAGCAGATGCATTCCATCACAAATCACAGATGCAATTCCCCGGTTAACAACAACAATCACATATGCAATTCAATCCGGTCAACAACAACAACAACAAAATCCATCACTAATCAACAACAACAATCACAAGTCCCAAGTGAACAACAATCCAATCAATCACAAATCACAGATCAACAACACAAGCAAATGCACGAACTCACTCTGTCGTCGTCAATGTGCTGCTGCCAATCACAGCCGGGGTCCCTTGCCACCGCCACTGCCACCGCCATTTCCCTTGGCCACGGCCACTGCCGCACGTCACCGCCGCACGTCGCTGCCCCGACCGGAGAGGGAGAGGAGGAGGGAGACCGGATCTGCACCCGGTCACCTATGGGGAGGCCGCCCGCCACCTCCCTTGGCCATCGCCGCCGCCGGACATCACCGCCACCAACCTACCACCCCGACCTCCCCCTCCCCTAATCTGGCCGCCTTTGATAAAGCCGATGGAGAGGGAGAGGCAGAGGGGACCAGATGTGCTCCTCCTCGTCGTGGGCCACCAGTCCATGCGTCGCTGCTCGCCGGCTAGGAGATGGGGACGGAGGGGGAGGGAAGCGTCCGGCCGGAGAGAGTGAAGGCGGATGGAGAGGGGGACTCGGCGGGTGCTGGAGGGGGAGGGAGAGGGGAGGGCGGCGGAGGAGAAGGAGTGGGCGGGAGGGGGAGGAGGAGGGGAGGGCGGTGCCGCGGTGGAGAGGAGTCGAAACTTCTCTCTCGCGCGTGGATAAGGCCGGAGGAGAAGATGCGCGGATAAGGAAGAGAAGCAGGGACCTACGCGCGGATAAGTCCGGAGATGAGGCCGGCTCGGCTCGCCCAGTTCGGCTCGGTTTGGTATGGGTGCCGGTTTTTTAATTAACCGGCACCTATAATATATTATTGGTGTCGGTTTTTTAATTAACCGGCACCTATTATATATTATTGGTGTCGGTTCTTTTTAAAAACCGGTACCTATAGTATTGGTGCCGGTTTTTCCTAATGAACCGGCACCTATAATCCTTAAAGGTGTCGGTCGTATATTTTTTCAACGTGCGGATGTGGGAAAAGTCTCATAGGTGCCGGTTATAAATGAACCGGCACCTATAAGGCCGGTCCCTATAAGGGTTTTTGTAGTAGTGGGATGAGAATCTAAAGTTGAATCTCTCAACTTCTGGTTTTAGTTCACTTTCTAGATTCTATAACTAAAATTCTTAGAATCCATATGAAAATATGTACTTGGGGACTTGCACATTCTAGAAGAATGGGAAACTATTCTAAACTCTCGCGAAGGGATGTCCACTCGTTGTTTGCATGTCACTCAAATGGTTATGAAAAAAAAAATTGAGAAGATGTATTAACATGTGATATATCACTCCACAAATATGTACCTTTCAAATTCAACTTCTACATCTCGCAAAAAAAAACAAATTGAACTACAGCTAGTAAACTTATATCCGCGGTCAAATTTGTTTTTTTTTGTTGTGATATGTAGAAGTTTTAACTTGCATGTTTATGGAGTGCTATATCACATGTTACATCATCTCAATATTCTTTTAATTTTTTTCATAATCATTTGAATGATATGCAAACAACGTGGGACATCCCCTTGAGAGTTTAAAATGTACTCTCGGAAGAATATTTCTTAAGTCAAATCTATTAATATGATTATTTAGTTAAGAACGAGATAAAATGTCGTAAATATATTATGATTAATTTTGATGAGTAATACAAATTTAGAAATGTCTATTTTGAGAAACACACATGGGTCTTCCGGCTAGCTCCACAAGGTGGTGGGCTAGACGACCTGGGTTCGAAGCCTCACCCCTTCTAATTATTTAATACTTTAGGTTCACAAGGTAGTATTAGATTCTTCCCCTAATATTCACGTCTTTTCGAAATGTCTACTTTAGAATACTCTGTCAGGGTTAATAACACTTATCGTTTTGGTGAAAACTATATCAAACTTTATAAACTTTGGTTATTAATAACATTTAAAATATTTATGAGACCATATGTATAGATTAGTTTTAAGAAGTAATTCAATAAAATCATATATTTATTAATATATATATATATATATATATATATATATATATATATATATATATATATATATATATATATATATATATATATATATATATATATTAATGGTCAAAATTATAATGGTCTTTTGGAGACTATGTTCTTGTCCAAAATAACAAGTATTATCAATCCAGAGAGAGTAACAAATATATTATGCACATAAATATGCTAATTAGAAAAGTGACACCATGCATAGTAGACTAACAGGTAAGGGGAAAAATTGAACAAACTCAAATAAATTGGTTAGAGAACATAGTAAAGAATATGACAAGCTACTCCAAGTGAAGTGAAACTACGAGGTACATATATCCGTACGTAGTTGGCCAAGACCCTGTGGAAACATTTCCTTATTGGTTGGTATTGACGATCAAGCTAAGGAAAAAAGGCACACGCATGCAGGTAATCCACTACTACGTACTCCTGTATGCATCCATCCATGCAAGAAAAAGGCTTCCATATATCCTTGTCACAAGCTAGCTCACAAAACTTCGAACTGACAAGATGACAAAAGTCACAATGCTTGAAATTGACAACACCTAGTAGCTTTACATGCATGCATAGGAGCAAATCTCTCCAACCCCAAAGGTTGTGTGTGTTGTTGTGTACAGGTAGATATAGATGTTGTACTTGAACACCTGAATATATATACTACTGCTATCTAGGAGTATCTGATGACCAATTATTTCTAGAAACGGGCACTTTGTGTTGGAAGCTTGCGTGTGGCCATTTCTCCCCCATGCCCACCTACCACCCAAAACCCCACAAATCTTACCACTCACACATGCGGAAAACCCCCGTTTTCTCCGTGTGGTTGTGACTTGCCGCTGCGCCGCACGCGCTACATAAAGCTTTGGCGAGCTCGCCGCTTCGGCTTCAACGGTGCAGCTTGCCAACCTAAACCGATAATATCGCTCGCTCGCTCGATCCATGGCGGGCGTGGTGCAGACCGTGCAGTGCGACCAGCCGAGCAAGCAGCAGCTGACGGAGGCGGCGGAGGCAGCGGCTGCGGCTGCGGCGGCGGCGTCGCTGAGGATATTTGGGTACGAGGTGGGGGGTGGTGGTGGAGGAGGAGGCGTGGCGGCGGCGGCGGGTGCAAGGCGGGAGGCGGCGGACGTGGTCGTCGGGGCGGGGAGGAGGTTCGAGTGCCAGTACTGTTGCCGCGAGTTCGCCAACTCGCAGGCGCTGGGCGGGCACCAGAACGCGCACAAGAAGGAGCGGCAGCAGCTGAAGCGGGCGCGTCTGCAGCTCGCCGTCGCCGCCGCGGGGACGCCGGCGGGCATGGGCTTCGCGGCGGCACAGGCGCCGGCGCCGCCGCCGGGGCACGTGATCGCCGTAGGGCATCACGCGGGGTCGGTTGCCTCCTACGCGCTGCCCAGGTGGGTCTACCTCGCGGCGCACCACCTGCAGCCCCCGGCGGTGGGCCTGCCGTTCCACGCCACCGTTCAGGCAGCAGCCGGCGCGTGCCACGGCGGCGGCGACGTCGAGACGCGGTTGCTCAGCGTCGCCGCCGCTGGGCGGGGCAGCAGCACTGCAGGCAGCAGCGCTCACTCGTACGAGGTGTGTGCTCCTGCGGCTCCGGCGGATGACAGCGACGAGGAAGCCTCGGCGATGGGGTTGGACCTCCATCTCAGCCTAGCTCCGGCGAGCTCGGCATGACCGGCCGGTGGCCGGGAGTAGTAACTTTATTTGGTGCACCGCGGCCGACTTAACATGTAACTATTCTCGTGTGTATCCCCTTCATTTTCTTCCCATTTTTTTAGGGCAAACCCTGTTATTTTCGTTGTTTGCACATCTCGCAAAAATGCAAGAGCTCGAGATATATACAGTACATGCTTGATCAATCATCAAGCTAATATACCTATGTATACTCACACAGTTGCCCCCACTGCATTTGGTGTAATTATCGCTAATTTATAATTCTCTCTTATCAAGTCACACCATCTTATGCCTTATTCGATTTAGAGCAGATTGAAGAGGATTGAGGGGAAATATTTCCACACCAAAATATGTGTGGAATAAATCCCCTCCAATCCCTCCCACATGGGGACTAACCGAACAAAGCCTTAATTATTTGTTAGTCATTCGATGATCAATGTAAGACGTGGATTATTTACCTCTCTTCACCATCGTCAATATTAGTAGGGGTGAAAACAGGTCGAGTTTGGTTGGATCTTACCCTTCCTGTATCCTAACCCGTATTTTATAATTGAAATTGGGTCAATCACGGATAGTGCTGAATATAGATATAAACTCGGATAATATCGGTCACAAATATAGGACGAATATATGCCAAAACAGATACGTACACTATAAGTTAAAAAACAACTAGTTAACGTATATGGTCAAAATTGTTTTTTTTTCGTTGTGAGATGTAGAAGTTAAATTTAAACTTGCATGTTTGCGGAGTAATATATCATATGTTAATATATTTTCTCAAATTTTTTTCATAACCATTTAAGTGATATACAGACAATGAGGGGATATCCCCTCGAAGGATAAAAATCTACTCCCACTATTGTTGTCTGTATTTGCTCACAAGCTAAACGTGCTAGCTCGAGTTAACAAACAATCTAACAAGAATAGATTAACCCAAGCAAACACAAATTACTAGAGGGATGGAGAAGAAGTACTGCAGAGGGACAGTGACACTACAGCGTCACACCGATCAACACACGACGGCGAGAAACAAGCGACTGAGGTCAAGCTGAAATACTGGCGACGTTTCATCGGAAGTGGATTTTCTAACTCGAGTGACAATCCTTATTTGTACATGTCGTTAAAAAAATTATTAAGATAGATCAATATATGATATATTTTTTCACAAACATGTGAGTTAAAATTCTTCTGATACAATTTGAAACAAAAATAATAAATTTGACCGTGAATTACACGTTTTTATAGTCAAATTTGTTATTTTTGTTTCTACTTATATAAGTTGAATTTGAATTTGCATGTTTGTGAAGTGACATATCACATATTGATCTATCCTACTAAATTTTTTCAAATTTTTTATGATTTTTTAAGTGACATGCAAAATAAGGGGATATTTCCTTAAAGGATGAATTGGGTTTCCCGTTATCTGTAAATCCAATTTTCTTTCCTACGTAGTTCCGAGGACAATAATAGAGCCATCGATATTACTCCCTCCGTTTCAATGTAAGTCATTCTACCATTTTCTACATTTATATGGATGATAATGAATCTAGATATATATCTATCTAAATTCATTAAGATCGATATGAATGTGAAAAATACTAGAATGACTTATATTATGAAATAGGGGAAGTATTAGAGAGTCATACACAAATTATGTGGCGGCAATCTGTGTATGACTATGACTACAGCTTAATCCTATATACATATACAAGTCATCCCCACTAAGTGCAATTAAAACTAATTTCCTGTTTTGAGAGTAAGCCACGTCACCTTGATTCATTCCAGCCATCGGATTGCTCATAAACGTTTGGATAGCAATCAATCAATCAACTGGAGATAGCAATCAAAATAAACATTTAGCAATGACTAATTAAAGAGGCCCACCTAGCCATCTCTTAATTTTGAAACATACAGTTGGAATACCAACAGCAACGCATGTAGTACCCCAGCAGTTATAAGCTCTTTAATCTTCCATTGAAGTTATTTTATCTCCTGTAACCGGTGAATCAGATGAACAGTTATGCCTTTATATACTCTCTCATTCACTAGGACTTTGTTCCTGATCGATCATCTGCGCTTGACAGTCTTTCCATGCATCCAGTTGATTTATTTGCCCACTCCTCTGCTCATGCTGATGCTTCAACAGATCAACATGCACAATCCGCTTTGGTCATCTCTCTCTTGCTTGCTTGCTCATGGATTTATTTTTCTTTTTCTTACTAATATCACTTCTTGTTTAGTTGTAGAATCTGAAGAGAAGAAAAGAAGTAGCAGTTTCAAATATTTCTTATTTTCTGTTCTTTGTGAAGGTTGCAGATCTTATAGAGAGAATTGAAGGGTTGGTGCATTACTATATTCACATACCGGTTGAAATAAATAAGAACATTTTTTTTGTTTCAGTTGGTTAAAATAAATAAGAATACTTTTTTGTTTCAGTAGGTTATTGACATCTTCGACTGAACTTTTGAAAGTTTCTACTTCATTAAAACTATAGTTTGGAATAAGCAATTACATAGCATCTTTGTGTAATCACCATGACGTATATTGTCTACCATTTTTCTTTCTTGCAACATAGCATAGAACAATCTATGTTAGTACCATTCTATTTATTGCATCTGTGTTCAATTGGCCTTGGTTCCAGTAAAAGGAATTGACCATTCACTAAACAATCAGCGTATTCTGTTATGATTCAAATTTCAGTTGCTTATTATTATAACATTGTTGGTGAAGTGTTCAGTGTATATCAATACGATCATTCATACCTAATTTTTCATCTTTACATTACTCTTATATTCCCACATCAATGCGCGGGGTGTCATCTAGTTAGAGTTCGTTTAGTGCTCATATATGCGTGGTGGACGAAACCGAGATCTCGAGTCAGTCTCAGTCGTCGTGGTCATAATCAATCATGCGTATTCAGGAGAAAATAAAAAAGAAAAAAAAGGACCAGCTGATGGACTGCCGCTACCCTCTCTTTAGTCCCGGTTGATAACACCAACCGGGACTAAAGATCTTTAGTCCTGGATTGGTAGTCCCGGTTTTATCTCGGTTTGAAAACCAGGACTACAGAGGGTTATGAACCGGGACTAAAAAGCACTTCTCCACCAGTTATAAGTGCCGTGCTACTTACGTGTCAGGGTCTCAGGGACGACTAATATGGCGACGTCGATGGAGCTGGCGCCCGGCGACGCGCGGTTCGCGAAGCTGGCAAAAGAGCTCGACGACAAGGCGCCGCCCAAGGCCGCGGCCGCGCCACCGGCAGCATCAGAAGACCAAGCAGCAGCGAGCTCCGGGAAGCCCAAGTACAAGCACGACTTCTACAACGGCGCGAGCGAGGTGGTGGTGACGGTGTTCGCCAAGAGCGTGGCGGCGGAGCACGTGTCCGTGGACTTCGGCGAGCAGATGCTGAGCGTCTCCGTCGAGGTCCCCGGCGAGGCGCCGTACCACCTCCAGCCACGGCTGTCGGGCGCAAGGTCGTCCCGGCCAAGTGCCGCTACAGCATCCTCCCATCGAAGATCGAGGTGCGTCTCGCCAAGGCGGATGAGCAAGTGACATGGACGTCGCTGGAGTACACGAGCAAGGCCAACAACAAGCTCGCGGCGACGGCGACGACAACGACGAGGAAGAAGGTAGACTGGGACAAGCTGGAAGCCGAGGTGAAGAAGGAGGAGGAGGAGGAGGAGGTGGACACGGCGACGCCGGTGGTGAACAGGTTCTTCCAGCAGATGTACGGCAACGGCGACGAGGACATGCGGCGAGCCATCATGAAGTCCTACGTGGAGTCCTACGTGCTGTCCACGGACTGGAAGGACGTCGGCTCTAAGAAGATTGAGGCCAGCGCGCCGGAAGGCATGGAGCTGCACAAGTGGGAGTATTGATAGTGTTATTATTATATATATAGTCGGGCTAATTAGGAATGGATATTGTCCGTGAGTTGCAATGAGATTTTAATTTTAAAAATATTTTTAATCCAGTATTAGCATTATTTTCTATATACATCATATATACTGTTTCTTACTTATATGTGGATGTTCTAAACTCTGCGGGGTAATTTTTACCTTTTCATATAAAGTAGGGAGTTGATAGTGGGGGTGGTTGACATATAGACCCTCTGACCCTACATGTCTTTTCTTTTCTAAAAAGTAGGGAGTTAGTGGTGTCTTTTCTTTTCTAAAAAGTAGGGAGTTAGTGGTGGAAATGGTGACAGATTCACTTTTCTTTTCTAAAAAGTAGGGAGTTGGTGGTAGAAGTGGTGACAGATTCACCTATCACTAATTCACCACCATCATTACTCTCTTTTATAGGTATTATAGGTATATAATTCTTGTTATTTGTAACCTTATATAATTTTTGTTATTTGTAACCTTTTCTGTCAGTATCCTTAAAAATGTGGTACTGTCTTATTAAGGTATCATTATACACATAGTAGTACATGTTCTTTGTTGGGCGTGTTACTAATGTGCTACAAGTTTAATAAACTCAGTTGGAACTTTTATTATGTGTAAGTTAGCGATTACGGTGGCAGAGTCGTGCCAGCTACTCGTGGTAGATGGCAAAGCTCCTGCCTGCATGCCTGAATGGACCAGACCAAATCATTTAACATATTGTTAAGTATAATTCAAGGCGATAATACATATTGATAAGTGAAAATATTGAGTTTGTTCTGGTCCATTGCAAAACTTAGGTTAAAAAGTGACCCTAAGTGAAATTTATTTTAAAATTATTGAGCGGATAAATTGGATATTTTAGAAAATATACTTAGCTGATAGCTTAAAATAAGTGTTCTAAGTAATGTAATGTAGTGGGAAAAAAGGGAAACTATTTATGATCCCTCGATGAGATATCTCCTCGTTTACTTAAAATCCATCCAACAGTTATGAAAAATTCTTAAAAGAAAAATTGACAACACTCATACAACATATACAACTCCACAAGATCTTAGGTCCAAACTCAACTCACATATTGAGATATAAAAAAGACAAATTCAGCATATGAATAGCAACGTACTGTTTACATATGAATCTATCTTTTTGTTTTTCAATGTGTAGGGCGAGTTTGAACTTAATTTTTGGTGGACCAGTAGATAATACGATACTCTTCAATGTCATTTTTAGAATTTTTCACAACCATTTGTATCGAATATGGAAGGAAAAGGTACATGAGGGGACATCCCCACAGGAGATTAGAATCCACTCCTGGGAAAATGGATTTTTGAGACAACATTTTCTTT